CTGGTTTCAATTTGTTTAATGTCGTCTGAGATATGGGTGTCTTATTCTGGTAAGTGTAGTGGGAGGGCTATAAGCAGAGGGAACTAAGGGGAAGAATTGGGAAAATACCTTCGATCAGGTAAGACTTTCACTCTTCTGCATGTCACCAACAACAGAGTTTACAGGAAACTATGACAGTGACTGTACAGACTGTGCTAGAAGATATTTTTAAAAAGCCAAAAATAATAATAATTTCTTTATTTAATCATATAAAAATGACATTTAGAAGCCATTTATTCACTGAAAAAGACTTGAAAGCACCAGGCTGGGAGAATCACTTAAGATAAGCTCAGCTCAAAAATTTTTTTCGACAATAATAAGCTTATCTTGTCATCTCCTGTAAATTATGGCAACCCCCCAGGTTTATTTTGGTTTCTAAGTAAGAAAAACACAAGAGTTTGACAACACATGCTAACAAAGGTCTGGTGGCATTCCCCTTGAGTTTCCAAATCCAATTTGACAGGCAACGACATGCGCATGACAAGCATGAGAGTGGAAGCTAATGGGTTTCATGGGACCATCCTGTCAGCATTGCACTACAATGGTTGCCAATGTGTGGCAGGTTTAGCTGGAAAGGACACCATGGTCAGGTTACTCGAGGTTATCTTTTGAAAACAACACCTGACCTAACCTCCTTTGTCAAGAGAAGAGATGGAGCCATATCTCACCACTACGAGTCGCAGATGGAACCAATGGTTCCTAGCTAAGTTAGGTCCTTCTTAAGACTTATTTGCTGCTGAGAGCAACTTTTACTACAGAACTGAGAAAACTCCTGAGTGAATCACTTACACTGTCTATAGTGACTGAATGACATCAATTAATGTGAAATAAAACATTTGCCCATACAGGGGAGCAGAGGATTTAATTAGATGTAGGTGTGAAGAGTGCACTTTGGTTTGATGAATAACAAGATATTTCTAGTCTCATCAGCACTTACATCCAGTAGTGTAGAGTTGTGTAAACCGTCTCCAGTATTATTGGACTGTTTGAATCTATTGGTGAGCTGATTGGATCCTTATTAACTCATCTGCCATCAAAATGTGATTTTAAAATGTCATTGTCATTCATTGTGAGCAGATCTTGTCTTACTTATGAGTCCTCTGGAGTACCTTAACTTTCCTCAGACTTAGTAATTACTCTTTTAGAGCAAAAAAGTTAGGATTGGGACAGGAGCTACTTTTAGCCTTAGGATGTTATATTTATGTGTCTCCTAACTTTGATTGGATGGGTCCAAGTCACATGTTTCAAAATTTGCCTTCTAACTTGTTAGAAATACAAAATTGTACCAGTATTTGGTACAATGCAGATTCTTAGGTTGTGTTTTGCTGTAGCATTTGTTCCAAATTCAAGTAACATTAAACGAAATTGTTTCCCCTAAAGCACTTTGGCAGAAATAGGATTCCAATGAAATGGACAGAAAAAAAGACCCTTCTCCACTCCTTTCTGGTATGTCAGATTAACCCATCAGCTATTCCCATCTGCCCGTCACTCAAGGCAGTACAATGAGCCTGTAGCCAGACTGGGGTCATTAAAAGACCATCAACAAAGCGACAGACCTCCAGGGACTGCAGCCTAATCTGGACCCCAGTACCGACCCAATGGGTGGTCTGCCTCCCTCCCTCCTTCCCTCTCTCTCTTTCTGGGGGGGGGGGGCATATATGTGTAACATGGTAGGTGGGTGATGCCGATGGGGCCCATCAGTCACACGCAACCATGCATGTCCACACACAGAGAGCAGGTTTTTGATCAATGACATATTAACAACCCAGTGTGTTGCCTGGTGAGAAAGCAAAATGTTTGCAAAAAGAGAAGTTCGAGCAATGCTGGTAAATCATCCGCAGAAAGTACAAGAGTGCTACTTTCAGTTAGCAACACTGGGGGGAAAAAAAAGGAGGAGGAGTGAGGGACTCTTTTTGACAACTTTATGCAAATGCTTACTACAGCCATCTTGTCATTCTAGAAGTGCTAAATGAATCACTTTGAAAGTGAGAGAGAAGTGCCTTGCTCGCTTAAGCAACAGCAGTTCTCCAAAGCCCATCTGTCTGCCAGTAACGGTGGTATTAGGTGACTAAACAAGCAACTGCTGGTCTGTTGGGCAAAGGGGAAGATCCTCTTAAATGCTGTGTGTATTTGTGTACATACAGTGTAGATTATCTGCTTTTATTAGCAAGAGGAAACACTGAATGGATGAATGGAGATTGTGTGTGTGTGTTGGACTGATAGGGGGATTCCAGACTAAGGCACATTCATCTACAACTGAAAATCCCGTGCTCACGTTGCAGCACTCATGCACACATGCATGCACCTACACACGCACATTCTCACATGCACCCCCCTCTAATTTCTGAGGCCCAATCTGTACCCAAGAAAGGAAATAAGTGTGTGTGTGTGCGCGCGCAAACAGATTCACATTCAGTCACATTATGTGTCTCTGTGTATGCGTGAGTAGTTTTGGGGACATGATATCTGATCTCATATGTAAAGGTTCATTTCCAGGTATGTATTCTACCCTCGCCAAAAATTGTCCCCGTCTAGTCATAAATGTAGTATGTTGTCTCCTCCAAGGCAAAACCTCCAGTGAAACCACACACACACACTGAATATTGTGTAACTCTATGTAAATTATTTGGTTAGGTCCCTCGCACTTTGAGTTAGCCCTGTATTATCATCAATCAGAATGATAAATTACATAAATTAACTGAGGAAATACTGACTTGTTTTATCTGAATCATAAAAAACCCTTGATAATAATACTGGGAAATTATAGTTTAGGGCCTGGACTACAATCACACATTACTCAAAGAGAAAAAAAAGCTTGACATTTCAAATAAATGAAAGCGCCTGTTAACTTGTTGTGATTATCACTTTATACGTAATGCCATGGTAAGATTTCAGTTATCTGTGATAAAAAAGAAACTTAATTCTGAATACAATTTAAATTCATCACTCATTATTCTACTTTAGAGTCTAAATAAACTTTACATTTCCCGTGATGTGTCGTTTGGCTTGGCTTTCTGAGATCTACAAGACTGATTTGTGGTTCATATAATGAGTTTGAAATAATAAGCAGAATATTATAATATATAGGCATAATCAAATCACATGTACGTTTCGAAAGGCCAGGAAAAACAAATCAACTAAAAGGCTGAGCGAGCTTCCTACTAAAGTAAAATTCTGATCTAATGCAATTACAGGTTTAAAACTTAAATGACGCTCTGCCTTACACAAGAGAACCTAGAAAAGCTATGCTGAGGCTATAGAGCAAAAGGAGAAGTTTACTTGTATTAAATGAGTTCAATACAGATATTCTCTAAATAACCTGGCTTCGCCTTGCATGTGCTGCACTGTCTCATAGCAGTAGGTTTCGAAACTTGACTTACAATGAACCAGATTTGTCATGTCTTAAATTGCTTTCCTATAGTTTTAGATAATATTGAACATTTCCTTAAAAAATTGGTCTCAGTCAGAGCATAACAAGTCCTTCTTACATGAGGCATGCAGTATCTACGTCAGCTGTAGTTGACATGAAGTTGACACGTGTGTGTATCCACTAGCCCGGCTGCTTGCCTCTCATTGTGACAATAGCACAGAGGCTTGTGCTGTTGAGAGCAGAATATGAGTTTGCATTCTTTCCCAAAGGATGTTTATATTTACTTTAGCCGGGCAGAAGCTGCACTACTGGATGTGCTGGATGAGCTCGACTTAAGTTCCCAGGAGCTTTGCTAACTTGGCATAACTGAAGTCCAATCCTGCGCCCAATCATTCTGAGGAATCCGCGACAGATTGGGTGAGTCACATTCACATTTTGTCCTCTGCCTGTTGTAACGCCAAGTCATTTGTGTGTCTGTGAGTGGATGTCACTATTTCCACTTTTGTTTGTTCTTCATTTGCTTACATCTCTTTCTCTCCTATCACCACCTTCTGACACATCCAAAGTGAAAACCTGAAATTCATATTTGACAAGACTAGACATAGGTCCATATCTGCGTGATTGTGACGCAAACTTCTCATGGTAAATAAAAGGCTCACAACAAGGTACTGAGCAACTGTTGCTTGCTACCTTAATCTTAAAAGTCTCTTCTCTCACTATTTCAAGCTCTTCCAAAGACTCCTTTCAGTTTCTCTCTCTATTTTATCTGGTCATCAGAGCCCAGAGCTCAACAGTTGGGCATCAAAGTACCGACAGCGGGAAGGGAGGGGTGTCTGTCTCTCCTCGTCTGTCCCATCCCTTTCTGCAACAGCCACTGAGGGATTCCTGAGACAGACCACGGGGGCCCTTGGCTCTCACTTTACACAGAGAAACCCTATCATTTGGACTGGTGCTACAGAGCTACCCGCTGTTGCCCTGTAAGTGCCCGCTATATCATATTAGAGGCAGCTTTTCATCTAACTCTCTGGAGATGGCATGGTAGTTCAAGGCGGCGTGTCTGTGTCTCTATCAAAAAGCCTTGATGAGAATGACTGCTTGAGGTTCAGGAGTGCAAAAATATACATTGGCAATGATAAAAGCATAGTGCACAGAGACAAGAAGCAATCCATTGATAATGGAGTCTAAAATCGAAGTGTGGAGTTTCAAGAGAAAAGGAGGACACAAAGGTGATATGGGTATTAAGAGTGTCTGTGTATTTACTTACTACATCAATGAGGGGTGGCTACGTTCTTGTTATTCTCTCACTTGTTTTTTATTGATGTTTTCCTTGTGGGGTTTTTCTTTTTGGTTATGTGTATATACACTTACACAAGGAAAAAGGGGGGAATGCTATTCAAAGGTAAGATATAAACCAAATCTAAAGTTGTTCTATTGTCGCAATAAAAATGTCACTTAATATACCTGCTGGATCACATTTTAATAATGCCTACTTTTAAAAACTGGGTTCACAGTGTTTGTTTTGAGTCACTCAGTTGTAAGAAACTATCTAATGAGTCCTACTGAGATCAGAAATATGAACAACATAACTCACCACAGAGGTGAGCGCCATCTGGAAGCTGTAGATGCGGGCTAGACCAAAGTCTGCCAGTTTGATCTGTCCACCGCTGGTGACCAGGATGTTCTGGGGCTTCAGGTCACGGTGAACCACGCGATGAGAGTGCAGGAAGTCCAGTCCCTGGAGCAACTGGTACATCATATCCTGTAAGACAACAAAACAGAAAGGACAAAGAGAGAAGGGAGTGGATTTTTGTAAACATGACAAGGACACAGAATGAATACATTGAAGTTGAAATGAGCTGCTGAAGCTTTTTACACCGATAAGTGCAAGACTGAGCCGATGGGTTAATCTGACATACCGGAATTGTTCATACAAAATGCAAAGGTGGATGGCTTTATGACCCCACACCTCTACATCAACATTTGAATTAGTTCCTCTGTCAAACCAGGTGACAAAAGGCCTTGAATGTCAAGACCCTGCATTGAGAAGTTGAAGTATAAAGGCTGAGACATTATGGCATGGGGGGAGTTAACTAGTGGAGACCCGTTTCTTTTTTTGTCGACTGTAGCAGATATTTGATAACTGAGACACACACACGACAGAGGCATAGAGAGGTCCCGCTCTGTACAAGCATTGATCTCTGTTTCTCAGCAGCTGTCCTGCTTCAGTTAATTAGCACTCGTTCTCTTTTTATACCCAAAAGCTGACCTCAGAAATTGTCGTAACTGTCTGTGACTCGCAAAAGTAAACTGGTTTGAACAGCAATGAACTATGTCAAAACCAGCTTTGACTTGTTCTTTTCAAACTGAAAGTCTATCAAAACAGGTCCCGCACCTGTAAACAAATAAGACATTTACAAGAGATGGTGGCATGGTGGTTTTGGCAGAGCTGTAGTTTGGATTTTTTGATAAAAATTAATAATGGAGTTTATGAAGTCTCCACTATGAATTAGTCTGTTACAAAACCAAAAGCAGCAAAGGAGACAACATGTAGATTGGAAGAGAGAAGAGACATTTTTGAAGTGAAATGCTGTGATGCTAGTGGTGGTTTGTTGTACCCCCCCACCCCAAACACACACACACACACACACTCCTATATACACACACACACACACACACACACTCCCTCCTATATACACACACACACACACACACACACGCAACCCCCCCCGAATCCTCCGCCAAGACCTCACAAGTGACATGGACCTGAGCCCGCAGCTCTATTCACCGGCAGACCAGCTGGTGAGTGAGTCAAAGGGGTCTGCACACTCAAGCAGAAAACATTAGCAAACGGCGTGGGGCTGGCTGCTGTGTTGGCTATAGCGGAGGGGACAGGGTCTCCCACAGTATTGTGTGGAGATGGGGAGTGGTGTGTGTGTGTGTGTGTGTGTGTGTGTGTGTGTGTGTGTGTGTGTGTGTGTGTGTGTGTTTGTATACACACAAACTGAGTATCCCTCAGGGTCTGTAGTAATATATGTGTGTCTACATTTCCATTTGTGTGTAGGGTGCATTAGTGAGTGAGTGAGTGAGTGAGTGAGTGAGTGTGTGTGTGTGCGCGCAAGAATGCACGTGTGTGCCCTCTGACCAAGGGCAGGCAGGCTGCATAAACAGACCTTCCTTTCTACATCTCCATCCAGCCATGACCCAGCAAGGAGGGCAGCAGACAGACAGAGCCATAGGAGAGAGGCAGGCAGTTGGTTATTTTGTGTGTGTATGTGGGGAAGGGGGTTGACACAATAGCTCCCCCCCCACCCCTGCCCAGCACCACCAGTTCCTCTCCGCTTTAAATAGCCATTTCACCGTGCTTCCTTTCAGCAGCATTTCCTAGTAAACACTAATTATCTCAGAAGTGTGACTCTTGGACCAACACACAAACAATCTTGGCCCCCTTGCCCTGAGCGCTATCTTCCCTGCTGTATCAATTACCCTCACAACTGAGTGATGAAAAATATTCCAACTATGTTCAACAGCATAACTGCTGCAAATTGCTGCACTGCCAATAGTAAAACGGTACATTTAGAAATGAAAATAGCGAAATTAATACTGCCACCAAGTTCAAGACCACATGTGGCACAGAGAGCAACACTGAGCCACCCCTTGGCCTCACACAAAGTTGATTTCAGCAGAGTTGCTCAACACACAACTGTCTTCAACTGGCAGCACTTCAGCCAATACTCCACAAACAACTTGGCCAGGAGGAAACAAAATCACATAAAAAGGCAACAGATCTGACCCTGAAAAAAAAGTTGGACCAGGAAAAAAGTAGTCAGCCCACTGGAAGATTCAGTCAAAACATGGCTTTCTGAGTGTACCTCCTTTTCTAATGCAAATGTGCCAGAGGCAGCCATATTGTTTATTGTAGCTAGGCACAATATGGGACATCTGCCGGTTAGCGTTAGTGTAATTCCCTCCCCATGCTTCATTAACCTTCCCTTTATGGGTCCAGAGAATGGAAGCTTGGACGGTGGTGGCGGAGGAGGGTGGGTGAGACCCAAGCGCTGGCCCGGGTGAGGAGCACTGAGGCTGGGGCAGCCCAACTGCTTGATGTCCTTCCAGCTCATTTGATTCCTGGAAGAGGACCTCTTTCATCAATGACCATGTGGTGGGTCTTGAGTCTGAGTGGGTGGTGGAGAGTGGGGGGCTGATGTGGATAGGGTGGGCATGGTGGGGTGTCTGGTGCTGGGGGTAGCTTGGTTTTAAGGAAAAGTATTCCTGTTCTTTTTGGTTTAGGGTCTTTGGCTAAGGTTGAATATTTTCCTTGGTTTAGAGTGTTCAAGTGTGACACTTTTGAATAGGTATGCATTTAATCAGTTGGGCACAGGTGTGCTAAACTTGGGACTGCTGGACTGGGAGCCATTATCTGGTGTCATCTGGTTGTTGGGAAAGGGGGGCCGATTTAGAGGTTACTGTGCAGCGTCCACTGTTCTAGAAATAACAACGGATGGAGCCAGTATCATCTTGTCACTTTTGTCCCCTCAAGGCTCCAGCTGTCTGGATGTTAAGAGAAAGCTAAAGAAGGAGGGGTAGCTCAAGGGCTCAGTATGCTTCAAACTATGTGCTTGTTGGATTGTTGAATAGCACTGGAAAACTCCTCTTCCAAATGTTTCCAATGTCAGAAATGGAGGGTGGCCGCTTCCCAACAATTTTTGTTACTTTCCGAAACTGACAATCTGACAAACAAGGCCACTTCACATGGCGGCAGGCCGGTTGTGGGGAGTTGAAGAAAGTATGCAGGATTTGAGCTTCTACCCCAAGCTGTGATTTTTCCTTCTTCACACAACTGAACATGTTGAACATGTGCAGCTATCCCCATTTGAACAATTATTATTCAGTCAGGAGAACTTTCATCTAAGAAATGATATTTGCACCATCATAGTTATGTCTGGCAGTATGACTCTGTTCTGGGAAGCACACCTCTCCACGTAGGCATGTCAAAAAGTGGAGAACACCTCCGCGCCCTTCCACGTGCCTACGTGGAGAAGTCATAAGGCAGGAGAGCATCTCCCTGCCCATCCATGTGCATTCATGGAAAGCCCAACTTATTACATGGTTAATTAGATACTAGATGGGCACCGAAACGCAGTGTTAAATAGGCACGGGGCTGAAGACCGTTTACTATAAGGCTGCAGCCTCTGATGCTCTTTCTCGCCTCTGCACATGAACACAAACGAGAAATTGAAAGCTGTCCGTAGTGTAACTGTTCAGCTTAGTTTGCCATGTAGCTTCAAATTTGGCACATTGTTACCTGCAGAGAATCACAGCAGAGAGAAAGGGAAGGAGGACAGGAGGAAGGACGCATGTCATATGCAATAGTGCTGTTTTCTTCTGAAACAGTTATAACTACTTTTTTATCAGTTAAACCGTCAGTTATTTTCATTCTGTCAATTAATCATTTAGTCTATAAAATGCTCAATTAAACCATCAATTATTATTAATCTGTCAATCATTTAGTCTATAAAATGCAAATAGCCCATAAAAGATATTTAATTATAGGTATGTATGTAAAACATTTGCATAGAAACTATAGTACCACACACTGTATCAACTTTGGCAAAAAAAAAAAACCCTGGGAAAGCCTCAGGTGAGAGCTACCTGACTCGTCTACGCTTGCACAGCATCGCACCTACATTACAGCTCGACAAATTTTCACACATGAACCCAGCCCTGGGGTGAAAAATCAACGGTTACTCTAGCTTCCAGAACCTCTCCCTTTTAAACTCTGAGGCCCCTCGGCCCAAAAATAGAGATGTACCTCTATACTGTACACAATACATGTAAAGACTCTGGGGTGAAATACGATGAAGAGTTTATATATAAAAAAAAAGGTATGAGTGTGGGAAAGATCAAAATAAAAAGAGAAATTGGTGACACATCCATTTCTGACCTCTTGGCAAAGTGTAAATGGACACTTTGTGGATTTATTTAATGAATTGGAGAAATTGATAGTCATGGTGAGTTTGAATCTGGGAATGTTGGTACGAGATTGAATTACTGTGAAGTACAATTGTTAGCACCAAACTAGAGTATTTGTTCTTAAACACAAAGGGTAGATTTTTAAGTCAAGTTTCTTGCACACACTTTTTCTCTGTCGCCATACAGTGTAAACTTAGAGAGAGAGGGCAGAGTGAAAATAGAGAGGGCGGGGAGCCTCTAATTTGGAGCCCATCTGCCACATGTGCCGCCCTTCAAAACGCTCCGGTACCTCTGATGTTGGAGGGATCTGCACTCTGTCCTCCGTGTCTCTGGCCAAGAAGACTCACTCAGTAACATACAGACACGGCTGTGGTCATCCAATATTCAAAGCCACAGAGGATTTCGCAAATAGTTTCCATTTATATAGCAAATACAAACTGAAGGTAATATTTCAAATTAATTTCTCAAGTATTTTGAAATTTGAATAGGAATTTGTCTATTTATAGATTCCTCAGATGACTGAATAGTGAAGCAAACAAATGTCACTCACACTGACCACTGAAGGTGGTCACACTGACCACTCCAGGTCTTCCCTGAGTGCTTCTAGACAACAATGGCAGTGGTTACCTTGATAGTCTCAGGTGGCACTCCGGGGTCAGGAGCCTTCTCCAGATACGTGGTCAGGTCCTGATCCACGTGCTCAAACACCAGCGTGAGTTTGGTTTCCCGGTCAGTACGAGAGACTGTACACACATCAAACAACCTAGAAAAAGAGGAACAGGTGGAGGAGATCAATATAATTGATTTAATAGGGTCCACTATGCTCAGTAAACTGCAATTAGGCTTATGACTACAACTAACTGAATCTCTTCCTAATGGTAAAATGGCTGCATTCATATCGGAGATCATCTCTGATAATGTCTGCATTGATTGCATGTTCTTTTCTAAACAAGTGATATTATCATTATGCTACTTAATACTCTGTAAATGGCCGATGTCTGAATTCATTCCCTTGTTCAACCATTTACCATTTCCTTCATAATTAACACTCAATTGTTTACTCTCATGTGAAATAAAATTGAGTTTCCAGACTATAACTGAGGTGCGGTGGTGAATGACAGTAAACACATCTAGTAAAAGGCAAAACATTGCATTAGCTTTTTAGTTAAATTAGTATGCTTTTTGGACAACAGTTTTGGTTTCACTGTGCAAAGATTTTGAATGCACAGCTCTATACTGCATCCACTTTACATTTGGACTCTCACATATAATGAGGGAAAGTAAATATAACGCACTTCCAAGGAAATAGGGAGTGATTCAGATATAAAGCAATAGGCATGTCAAACACAGGTGTAACTAATGACATTAATAATGACTGCTATCACTTACTGGAACACCTTAAAGTAACGGAAACCCGCGTTAATGTTATCAGTTACATTGTTCCCTGCTATGACAAGTCAAAATGTCTGCGTGAGAAAGGGTTTTATTGATGCAGCAAAAATAACACGAGACAAGGAACACGCTTACTTAGATTTCTCATTTTTATGTTTATAAAAATCTAAGATTCAGTACTGGGAAAAAAAAATAAAAATAAAAATCAACACCTGAGAGCTGAACACATGTGCTTTGTGGATGGTCTGGAAAGCTTCATCCATTCTAGGACACAAAATCATAAATCTTAGGCCAACACCCTGAGTCTGAATATTTTTATCTAACAGAAACGTGCAAAAGAAACATGCGAGGAGACAATGTCCCCCTGAAAAACTACTTCTATGTACAGCTTTTGAAGATTCAACACCATCAGGCCCCAAACGCCAGCATTTATGCTTGTTTCACTAGGCAACACACTAAGACCAAGAATCCAGATTATGTCAGCAGACGTGCCAAGGCAGGCTTTGGTGAAATGCTGAAAAAAGCAATCCAGTATGTCCTCTTTAAAGAGCTGGAGACCACAAGCAGCATTCCTCAACCTGCACTATGACAACTCCTGATGCTCTATGGGAAGTTGAGTGGGCCTGGCCTGTAGCTGCTGCTGAAGAGGCAGCATCTTTCATCACAGCACACAGGAGACAAAGGGGCGATGAAGGATCTCCATCAGACATGTCGTGTTGGCGGTACAAATTCAGTAGTGATGTTACTGTAATCACGTTTACTTTAATGGCTAGGTAAATATGACTTTTAAATCAGTTTAAAGATTCAGTGTGTAAGTTTTAGTGGCATCTAGTGGTGTGGGTTGCGAATTGCAACCAGCGGCTCACGGTGCATTCACATCTTCCACAGATGGTCGCATTTCCCAAGTTGTGAAATCATTCTTTCGACTTCAGTGTGTGTTCATGTGCTCTTAAAAGCCCATGCAGACTACACGACGTTCAGCGTCGGCCGATGGCCTTGCCTTTGACACTACACAACTTGCCATCTTGAGTCCGTTTTGAAGCATCGGTGAGTAGTTCATACATAATGACTGCTGTCCGCCGAGTGGCAAATCGGGCTCAAAATCGTGTAGTGTGAACTAGACTTAAGTTGGAATGTGGAAACATGGACGCTGCTACAAAGATGTGTTGGATTAGCATTATCAGAGCATATAAACAACACGCAGACATCTAGTTCACTCTACATGGACAGCAAACTAACCGTTATAACCATATTACAAATTACATGTTTGCAAAATATGTATATGCAATACATGATTTTGCACGAATCAAAGTTCAGTATGTTTCTTTATGTGCTATGTACACTTTATTTCTCTTTTTACAATAAAGACTTCTATTCTGACCTCTAATAAACCAGACGACTACTACTACTAGTAGTCATCTTCTTCTCCTTCTTCTTGTATGAATTAAATGTATTGATAAAATGCGCTCTGAAGAGCAGTTTGTCCATTAGGGCTACTGTAGAAACATGGCAGTGCAACATGGTGACTTCCATGTAAGAGGACCTGCGGTGTATGTAGACAGAAATGGCTCATTCTAAGGTAATAAAAACATAACTGCTCATTATATAAGGTCTTTATACACCACTGAAATCATAGTTATGGATATTATATTGCATTTATGTCAATAGATCATCCTAAATTTTACACACTGAACCTTTAAATAAATTAAAAACAAAGGAGAGGATTTTGTCTCCCATTCCTTAGATTTAGGCTTAACCTACATCTACAATATATTTATAAACCCAATACAGGTTTCCTACAAAGCTTCCCAGTCATGTCATGAGCCATTACATGAGTGGAGGTTTCAATGTCACATCAGTGTTTTAAACAGCTTTCAACGCATGTGCTGCTACAATTCAAACTAGGTAATCTACATAAGCCGTTTAAAATCGAAGCATGGAAAGAAATGACTAAATCTCTCCGGAAACTCTTTCATTCCTATCCAACGAGGCATCGTGCGTCCGTGCCAACACCCTTGTAATCAGTGGAAGTGCTGGATTTGGTGCAGTGAGTAAAAGGCGATTCATTCAAGGTATTAGTACTGTGCATGATGTCACAGAATAGATGGTGCCCTCCTCTTGAAGCGCTGGGGTTAAACGCCCCTCACAGCTCGATTGTTGGGCTACAATGGGGGCTCTCAGCAGACACTGAACATATGGAATGAATAATGGGCCTCATTACAAACATCCAGGGGTTGCCGGGAGTCACACAGAAGGCCCACAATGCACCCTTCCTGGCCCAAGCTACTTAGCTAGGCTGGTTGGCTAAATTGGAGGAAAGTGAAGTTCCTCTGACAGTTCAAAGAGATGATAATTTGCACTCTTGAACCGATTTATTGCAACAAATGTTTCTGCATATTATCTAAACTTACACTTTCATGGTGGCGCGCAGAGTGCATTCGACCACTAAATAAAAGTGACCTAACAAACATTCATACCCACTGACGTATTTGTCTTCCACTGAGAACAAAACCCATTGTGATCCCATTAAGAGAAAACCATTATCCTTTATTATTTATTAATACGCTGGGGGGATTATTGTTAGAGGCACAAGGGCACTGGGGATGCTTCTAAAATGTTAATTTAGAGCTTCCCTTTCAATCCCAAAGTACTCAATATTCCTTATTAAAGCAAGTACCAAGGTCGGACCTTGTCTGGTGCCAGCATATGACGCAGTATCTGACTATTGACCTCTGAGTGAACAATTCATTACAAAACTGAAAGAAAAAGAGGAGTGGAAAGGTGGACAGCTAAAACTATATACATAATGCAAGTCTTTAGAAAGGCTAAATTCAGTCAGAGTATCAGTGCCTTGTTCAAGGGCACTTAGGCAGCACAGATGAGTGGTGATGGGCACACAATCGCATGGACTCAGCATCAGACCTGTGCCATGCTTTTTAATTGGTGGTAGTCATTTTAGAATCACGTTACATACCGTATAGCCCACAGTGACTTAAATTAAAAATAAAAAAAAAAATATATATATATATATATATATATATATATATATATATATATATATAGACAACTATGTATAAAAAGGTGGTTATCTTTGGTGAGCACAGCTACCTTGAATATTTGAGCACAGATGTTCATTATTGATCTCGGGAGCTCATTAGTGATAAAATATTAAATATTATATAAATACTATAAAACTCACTCCAGAGCTGCAATTTGTTTAGTCAATCAACAGTATATTGACGACAATGGAATGTACTGATTAATCATTAATTCACTGGTTGGAGCTTTTAAAATGTGAATATTCTTTTCTGAATATCTGAATAAATATCTTTAGGGGGTTTCAGACAGGTCAGACAATACAATCTGATGATGTTAACTTGGGCTTTAGGAAATTGTGAGAGCGGCTTTTTGCCATTTGCAGATGTATGTCAATGCATATAACAAAGACCTTGCAGAAAGGGGAAAGCCTAAACATTAGAAAGGCCAACTTTAAATGGCAACATCACAGGTTTGATGTATTCCAAGCTGACACTTATTCTCGTAAAAGACAGACTCCCTAAAACACTATTCTTCTTTTTTGTTAATCCATTTATTTCCATGTGTCATTGATATCACACAAACCTTTCAGTTGGGCAAAGGGTGGGGCGGTGGAGGCCACCAGTTTGCAAGGATGATGTGTGCTTGTGTCTTTTAGGCAGACCGGACTTATTTTTTAAAAGTTGCACTTTTCAGAGGAATTTGCATGTGTGGTGGACCAGTGAGGATGAATAAGGGCGGGATTTCAAAACTAAACAGGAAACGGACATTGAAAATTGGAGAAAGTTGTGATCTGACAGGTGTGCCTGCAGATAGTGGCAGCAACCAGCTAGTTGTTATGCAACCCACAGTTAAAGAAGAGGACTGGTACATAAAAAGTGGACGCGTATGAATGCAGGCCTGCCCTAAAGGTCATATGAGGCAGTATGGTTGCCACCACAGACCATCAAAAAAGGACGTCCTGTGTGTCTGCCTTATGCACAAAATGTTTTAAATGTCTGCCACTCTCTGCCCCTCTACCCTCCCCTCCTCTCGCCACTCAAACACACTTACAAGCAAGGCTACCCACCTCCCCCCTCACTTACCTGACAACATTGGGGTGCTCAAAGGCTTCAAGCTGCCTCAGTACCGCCACCTCCCGGATGGTGGAGAGAGGCATCCCCTCTTCCTCCGTCTGGACACGAACTCTTTTCAGGGCTACAAAGCGTCCCCCGTTCTTCAAATCTCTCGCCTTGTACACTTTCCCATAGGCGCCTTCTCCAATCTCAGCCACAGGCTCGTATTGAGTGCCAGTACTTTCTTTGTCCATGTTTGCTGCTTTTTTTCCTCTCTGTGTCTCTCTCTCTTCTTCTCGTCTCTTGTTGAAAATATTGCGGGGAATCCCGGCGAGGGTGACGAGCCAGAGAGTTTCTCACAAAGGCATATTCACAGAAAAAAGCTGGCACATGCAATGCCTAGACGACAGGGAGACACAGATGGAGGAAGACACCATCTTTGTCAGATTTGGTCAAACTGTGCTCCTGGTAGGCAATAATAGGACTGTCATCATGTTTTATTCCGACTATCAACACAAGAGCCCCGTTGCGTCCCAACTTCCACTCCTCCTCCTATTACGCACAGCAACATGTCCTCCTACCACTAACACAAAGTAGCCTAATGTAAAATAATTCAAATTAACAACTTTTAAAGCTAGGTTTGCATTCAGTAACTCATCTTGCGCGTTAAAATACCCATCCCACAAGCAATGTTGTTGGAAGTTATGCTCATGTGGGCTGCCTTTGCTCTATTAAAAGGACACTAAACAGCAACATTTAAAGAGAATACGCAAACTGAGAGGACAAACCTTACACACCAAGCTGTTTAAAGTCAGCAAAATAACCTGCTGTCTGCTTCCCCTATCCTGTCTTTGACAAAAGTGTGTTTTTGAAATACATAGGCTACTTGGCGAGCACGTGGCTGTCTACTGATTGCATTGTCTGAACTTCCTACTGCAAAGGTCCATTTAAAACACTGTAAAACTCTCCCTTCAACTCCCAAATCGGTGTAAATGTGTAAAACAATGCAGTGGCGGAGCTTTAAAGATGTTTTCATGTGCTTAGACAAATTTAATTGCGCACGGCTCAACTAGGCTAATTAAATTAATTCTAGTAAGTCAGGGGATTGCTCATTTCATTTTATATATATATATATATATATATATATATATATATATATACCATCATATAGAAAGCAACATTGACAGCCTCATAAAGACATTTTGCAAAAAACAAAGCTGCATAAATATCCACACTTTGTTTACCTTGGTTTCTGTTGTCAAAAATCTCGTAACGTCGGCATGTCCGATAAAATGCTGAGGAGGCAGTGTCTCCGATAAAAATTTCCTGCATCAAACGCAGTTCCAGTCCACTGTGCTCCATGCGGGGGCCACACAGGTAGTTGGATAGTGCAGAATCTAACCCCCCATCCCTCAGACTGCAGCCCAGAGACACTCAAACAAGGGAGGAGGCGGAGGAGGAGGAGGTGGTGGTGGTGGTGGTGGTGGTGGGGGGGGGGTGTACGAAATCTCATACACATACTCTCACTGCAACTTTGTGGGTGGGGGGTGTGGAGGGGAAGGGGGGGGGGGTCATAGGACAAAGGCAAACGCGTGATACAGCCCTTCAAAACCACGCTCTACTTTGGATTTTCTCCTTTCTTTCTTCTTTTTTCCTTCCATAGGCTATATCCCCGGATAGGCCTATGCAACTGCAGCCCCGCTCGCCTGTGTGAGCTCCGTCTCTGCCTGGCTTTCCCACGCCGGCTGAATGTGGCCTGACCCCCTTCAGAGAGGTTTGACACGGAGCGGGGACATTTCCGCATTCCTCCCCGACTACAAAGGCACACCGCCTCCTTTTTGCTCTCCCTCGGCCTCCTCGGTGCTTTACCATTCATAGTACTCTCCGCGGGTTTTGTCTCCCGTGTCAAAACCGGGAGCACCGCGGGGATCGGAGAGGGTAGAGAGGAGGTTTATTGGATGGACGGCCACACTATCTATCCCCCTCAAACTATTGAGGAACGCCTGCGGCAACAATGCACCAGCGGGGATGCAATGTGACAAGCTCGCCCTGGATGGTCCTGAGAGGGGTCAGGTTCAAGGCCTGGTGGATTGATCCGGTGGCTCCTTTGCTCGGGTGGTCGTTTGCGAGGCTCCATGTCCCACGGCACGATGGCCATGTGGGCTACTAGCTGGCAATTGTTTTTTATTTATTGGAAATTTGCGAAATTCTGGCATGGCAATGATTAATTTAACAACAAAATAATGACAATCCTGAAATTCTGCAAGTCAGTTTACACCATCTAATAATCTTAATAATTATAATTATTAAAATATAAATATATTAAATATAATTATTATTATATTATATTTTAATACTTTTAAGTATTAAAAGTGAATAACTCAAACAGAAATGTAAATTGTTCAATTGAAATGTATATAAACAAAAGTTATTATGTTATGGAATTTATTATCAGTAACTGCAATATCTGATAAATCTCTGTCATTCTTAAAACAATTTTAATATTTTTATATGTTTTATTTTGTTGTATTGCTGTCCATTTGCTTAGTTTTATTTTAGTCCACACATTCATGCTTAACTATTACATATTAAATCAGGTGTGGTCATTTTAAAACAATGTGTTCTGTCTGAAAAGTTCTTGAAACTTTGTTTCACTTTTCTGTTTAATGCTGGACATGGTGTAGACATGACAAGACTTGATGTCAGATTATTCCAATGAATAGCCAGTTACAGGCGTGTAACCCAGCCCCATTATCATAACTTAATTAGAAGGCGTGTATTAGCACAGGAGATCAGGGGAAGGGCATTCCCCCGGTGCTATGATTTACATGCAAACTTATCTCACATGCTGCTTGTAGAATCTACTGATTTGCATTGAAAAGGTAAAACTGGGTGAGATAATGACATGGTAGTATGTATGACAACCACCCCTGCCCAACTGTATAGGCAACCCCACATTTAAATAATTTGCATCACAAAACACACAATGCAGACAATGTATCCCAGACCAATTACTGTAAATGTTGGCATTTACATTTTTTCATCATCATTGTTCATGTGAAATCAGCTCTGAGAGCCATTGCCCCCAATTGAATACATTAGCATGCATACTTCTTATTTGGTTGGAGAACTTACCAATTAGATCCATTGTGTGCGGTATAAAAATGAGACAGACACACACCTCAGACTCTCACACACGCACTCATTTTGCAACATTCAATAATTAGTCAATACCGGACAAAAACTTTGATAGTCTGTCTTTGTTTACCTTGACGGGGCTCATGCTGGGGAATCAGCATGAGTCATGAGTGTTCTGGGAACAGCACGGTCAGAATATCATTTAATGTTTAATCTTGTACTTGAGTTCTTGAAGCTGAAAAATGATAACTGACAATTCAAATGTTGACAAGATGCAAAAATGAAAGATTAAACAATTCTGATAAACTTGTTTTAGCCTATGGTATAACTACAATTACATGGCAAATTATCTAACTAGTTGCTCTTTTCAACACTGCATTTATAATTATTATAGACAAATTTTAACAAAAGTGACACCTTACTTTGTAACTTTTACAGGAAACAGTCAGTAAACAGGACTAGTAATCAGGGTTCTTATAATTTTGCTGCTGAATTTTCACATTTCTGCTATTTAATGTTGTTTTTTGATACAGGTATGCATGGTGTTTTAATCAGTGGTGAGACAAGTCCTTTACTTCGGCAAAAATAGTGGTACGAAGTATCATCAACAAAATGCACTTAAAGAATCGACAGTTAAAATGCCCATTTTGCATTCAAAACAAAAATATCCCTGTGAGTGATGTATTATGTAAGACATTATTAGGTTGTTAATACTGGTGAGTCGAGGTGGTGCAATTTAATCAAGTGGGGTCAGCCCCCCTCTGCTGGGTCACAAGATAAATCTAGAGATTAATGTGAGAACGGAAAAACAAACAAACAAAGTTCTGCTGAATAAATTTGCATACTTTTCTTTTGACTTTTATCTAGTTATTGCTATTTTGTGAAATATTGGATTATTTTATCTTTTATCTAAATGGAACCCATCTGGGAAGTTTTGGGGGAAATCACCCTTTGGTGGAACAGCTACTCATACACACAGAGACCTTTGTAAGGGGGTCACAAGCAAAAAGGGCTGGGAGCCACTGGTTTAATCTGTAATAATCAACTGTGTTTTATAAAGGTTTCAAATATTTTTAATGTAAAATCTTGATCTGAAAGAAACTAGTAACCAAAGCTGTGACCCTGAATGTAGCTCAGAGCCAGTAAAATTAAATCTCTTGTGGTCACTCTTTATTTCATATTCATTCATAGGACAGTTGAGAAACACAAAAGAAATTGCTGCAAAAACCCTGGCATTTCTGCTTGACAGAGCCACTCCTTTACATTCTTCTATGAAATACTAAAAAGGTGTTCTTGACTGTTTTTGTTCACTTCATTGACACTGTGGTCAAGTGTCACACAGGTTGTTTAGACAGTTCCTCAGGTATGGACAGTTCAGGTAATAAGCTCTTTCTGCACAGTTGAATGTTGCTGCTGTAATAAGACAAGGTGTTTGGGACGGAATTGCTTGTTCTTCAGGTTCAAGTAAAACCAGATAAGCGATCAAATAGCAGGGGAGAAATGAAACATTCTAACCAGTATTCACTCTTTTAAGCTCTGTTATGGTTTCCACAATCTCCTGAGGGAAATATCTGGCCCTTTAGAAGTTAAATGCTCCGATATGTTCAACAGCTAGTTGCTAACATTTGCTGCTAGGTGTTGGGCAGGTAGCATACGGTAGGTATATCACAGCATTGACTCTGGAAACAGTGACCTGCTGCGGCTGGACACATGATTGATGAGACCAATGACAGTTAACTAAAATGGCAAAGTTGCGGGACAGAAAACCAGAACAATGCTGCTGAAATATTCTAAAGCGCTGGGAGAAAGGTGATGATTCTCTGTCTGTTCGTCACTATGAGCAACACCGTGAGTGTTACTCATTTGACCCGTAGCTGATACAAATATATTGATTAGTGCAGCTTTAATTTTTTCAACTTACTTACTTACCAAAATGGATCCAGCTCACAAAGCTCATCAATTTGGTGTCAGTACAGTAATAATATGGTGTGTGGCGTTAACCGAGGCACTTCATTTGAATCAAAATGGGCTGCTGCTTTTGAGCAAGCAATAAAAGGCCAGCCCAATCTTTCACTCTTACTCTGAGATGTAAAAGAAAATGTGCTTTGTTTGTGTGACTGAATGTGTTTGCCTTTATCCCTCTGTGTGTGTGTGTGTGTGTGTGTGTGTGTGTGTGTGTGTGTGTGGCAGCTGCTGATCAGTCCAGCCAACAGAGAATTACGGCCCTCCCAAGGGGGACTAGAGAGGCCAACAAGGGACAGGTGACTCCCAGTCTCTCCCAGATCTCCTTACACCCACCCACACATACACAAACACAGAGTGAGGGAGAGATTGATTGTGGGCCTGTCACCCATGTCCCAACTAAATAGAGGGGGATGTCCATGCCACAAGGCATAAGGAACGGTGATAATAACCTGAAGTCTTTAGTTAGACAGCTGTCACACCTAGGGAGGAATCTGATAGGGTGTGTGATATATTGGATTCCTTTTTAAGTTCCCAAACCCATTGTCGAGTTTTACAAGCATCACTTAGTCCGCCATGTTTCACGTGAGTCAGGTCTTATTCACGCATCAGCAGCTTAATATTTAAGCGACATGCTGAGTGTAAAGACAGAGCCCGGCGTCGGGGTGAGCGGACAATCCGAGCCTGTTTCGTGTCTCTGACTTGATTTCCTCCCTTCCTCTTTCTTGTCAGGCCAGACCGAAGTCCAGAGTGCGTGGTGCAAGTAAAGCCCCTTCTCTCCTCTTCCCTTGTCCTCCTCTTCTCCCCGGCACCGGCCCCCAGACACAAGCCTCTTTCTGTTGGGGCATCGCCATGGCAACCAAGCCACCAACTTGAAGAGGCGACATAAAAACCTGCTCTTTTAGGGGACACAGGAACACCTGCCACCTCCGCCGATGGGGAGGGCTGGACTGGGCTGGACGCCTAGCCACGTGCAGAAACACACATACATACTAATTCATGTGGTCACAAATGCACTTGGAGACACACACACACACACACACACACACACACACACACACACACACACACATCCACATAAACAGAGGATCAGTGTAACATTCAAATCAGACCTCTAGCTAACATCTGCTCCCCTTTAGAAGCTCATTTATCTTCCAATAACATCTCTGGTTGTCTGGTGGCTTTCTTAACTCATGTCCTGGCAAAAACCAAGCAAGGAGTTTTATGGAAACAAGGAATCCATTATTGATAAGGTTTATGGTTTCAGGCTAAGACAGACATTTGTCAACACAACACACATCTCAATTGTGTCTTCTTTCCACCA